AACAAGGATAAATACATTTTTTGAATTTTATATGTTTGATTTAAGGTAAATAAATATATTAAATTAATTAATAATTTATTTAAAATATTAAAATTTAATTTATAAGTATGTATTAAATAAATATTTATAATTTTTTAAATTATATTAGCATTATAAATTATAAAATTAAATAATTTAAATTATAATTTTAAATAAAAATAAGTAGACGTTAATTATAAAAGTAAGTACATATAAATAAATAATAATTAAATATATTATTATTATTAATTATTATTATTTGTAATATAAAATTATTATATATTATTATTATAGTACAAATATGAGATTGTATATTTGAGAATGACTTAAATGAATTAATTTGTACAAGTTATACTGACAACATACATATACATTTCGGTAGCTTACTCATAATAACTTCACAGTTAAGCGTGCTTGACCTGGAGTAGTACAGGGATGGGTGACCTTCTGGGAAGTTTCCCAGAAATTGCACATGTAAGGATCCCAGAAATTGCACAAGTAAGGATAAAACACACTAAACAATGAAATATCGTGAAATAGAACCCTCGAGAGGTCAAATATGAGGGTTGTTACATTAATAAATTTATTAAAATAAAAAAAAATTATAATTTTTGGGTAATTTCCCACGGATAAATCCGTGGGAAATTACCCACGGATAAATCCGTGGGAAATTACCCACGGATAAATCCGTGGGAAAGTTACCCACGGATTAAAATCCGTGGGTAAATTTCAGACGACCAATTTACCGACGGATTAGTGTTCGTCGGAAATCCGTCGGAAATGCCTCATTACCCACGGATTTTGGGCATTTCCCACGGATTTTTGCCGTCTGAAATACCGAATTTTCTTGTAGTGCACAAAGCCATAAATCATGAAAAGGTATATTCAATTACTCACTACCCTTGATATTTGGAATGTTTTGTCAAACACATTCTATGATGGAAGTAGTGAGCTCTAAGTGTTTGCCTTGAATCAAAGGGTATTTATCGGAAAACAAAATAATAGAACACTAACTAGATATTATGAGAAGCTGGTTGAGATTTTTAGGGAATTGGACCATCATCACAAAGTAGTCATGAAGGACCTAGATGTTGTGAAATCATAATAGAAGTCAATTGAGAGATATTTTAAGCAAGTTTGTGGAGAAATTTTGCACAAGAAAATAACACATGATTTAAAATAATGTTACGTCTTAATTTGTTGAGAGACAGCCCGATAAATAATGTCGAAGACAAAAGATATCAAGTCAGATTCCACAATTTAAAATATTTTATATTTTGTTTTTATTTTTATCATATAAAAATATATTTATTATTTTTAAATAATAATTTATATGTTTATTAAATTTGTTTTAAGTTTTAAAAATACCATTGTAATAAAAAAACTAGTTACATGTGCTAAGCAGAATAAACAACAATACTAATAAAGAGTCAAAATAATTTAGTAAAATATAATTATATTTTTGAAATTTAATAATTTTTAGAATTTTATATGATATTTTAAAGAGTGGAACTTCAAAGCATCGTTAATACAACATAAACGGCTTTACAAATAGATGGAATATATATGAAATTAAGTGACTGAATATTAGTTATTCTTAAGAAGACATATTTCCTTAATTATTTATTTCGTCCCATTAAAAAAGTAAACATCTTGTAGCATGTTAAAGTCACACCTTTTTCTTGCTTTGAGTGGTTGGTGTACACGAATTTAAGTCTAAAAGCAACACCTAAAATTTGACTAGCATGCAAAAGTGATAAATGCGAATTTCCCTCTTCAAAATTATAGGTGGAACACAAAAGAAGTTACTATTATGAATTCAGAATACAAATTTAATGGAAGTCAAACGAAAGAATGGTCCTCTAAAATGGGTACTAATTAATAAATTTTAACCGTTCATTTACAAACAATATTTTAAATCGAAAGAAACAATCTACTTATAATGACAGTAATGGTATTTTTTTTTAATATTATTATCCAATAATAAATATATATGCATGATAAATTTATTAATTTTTATAATAGTTATTTTAAAAAATCACACTTAAATTGATTTTTAATATAATTTTTTTAAAAAAAATAAAAATACACGAAAATAAAATCATTACATGAAAAAGTATACTTGTAAAGATGAATTTCAAAGGGGTGAAAGTTAAACGGTAACTTTATTAGGTTTTGTTAATAGGTGTTTTAAAAATACTAATTAAAGAATTAAAAAATATTTTTTTATTAAAATTTTAAGAAATTAATAAATCATATGTATTATTTTTCATAAGCATACCACAGGCATATAATTTAATAGATGGGAATTCCTCGTTTTATTTTTCCAACAAGACCACTCACTTCACTTGATGTTATAAAACTTAAAGTTTTCTCATTAAGTAGGCCGATTGAAGCGCTATGTAAATGTAATGCGCGATGTTCCCTTATTATGATCATCCAATTCTTGTAATCATAGCATAAAAAGCTTAAAATCGATTGTGAAAAGAAAATATTGAAATTAGGGAAAGTTGAATTTTGAGGAAAAAGAGTGGAACCCATTTGCGAGTTTCACTTTTTGTTGGACAGAGAAAATAAAATGAATCCATGAAAGGACAGAAGAATTTGGTTTTCCCCCCCTTGGTTTAATGTTTTTGCATCTCATGTGGCATAAGACGACAGCATATAAACTGCAAAAGGTTAGAGAATCTCTAGAAGCCCCTCCCTCCCTTCCCTTTATCTGCGATGCCCTCGTCCTTTCCCTCTCATAAAACCCACTTTTCATTCGCCCAAAAAAGAAAATAAAAAAAAGAAAAAACAAAGAGAAGGTTTTTTCAGTCTTTGCATTGCAAGTGAAAAGAGTTATAAAAGGTTGGGAAAATCCCACAGCTTTTACTCCCTTGTCTCCCACGACGACAATGTCATAAACAAAAGGAGCTTCATCACTTCACTTGTGTTCTGTCTTGAGCTTCTTCTTCTTCTTCTTCTTCTTCTGTTCTGAAAATGATAACAGCCTTGGACCTCTACCACGTGCTGACCGCCGTGGTACCACTCTACGTGGCCATGATCCTGGCCTACGGCTCCGTCAAGTGGTGGAAGATCTTCACGCCGGACCAATGCTCCGGCATAAACCGCTTCGTGGCGCTCTTCGCCGTCCCCCTGCTCTCCTTCCACTTCATCGCGGCGAACAACCCCTACGCCATGAACTACAAGTTCATAGCGGCGGATTCGCTGCAGAAAGCCATCGTCCTGGGCGTGCTCTTCCTCTGGTCGAGGACCAGCTCGAGAGGGTCCCTGGAGTGGTCCATCACGCTCTTCTCCCTCTCCACGCTCCCCAACACGCTCGTCATGGGAATCCCCTTGCTCAAGGGCATGTACGGCGACGCCTCGGGGACCCTCATGGTTCAGATAGTGGTGCTCCAGTGCATCATATGGTACACCCTCATGCTCTTTCTGTTCGAGTACCGAGGGGCCAGGCTTCTTATCGTGGAGCAGTTTCCCGACACCGCTGGCTCCATTATTTCCTTCAAGGTCGACTCTGATGTTATCAGTTTGGATGGGAAGGAGCCGCTTCAGACTGAGGCTGAGGTTGGTGACGATGGCAAGTTGCATGTCACCGTTCGAAAGTCCACCAGCTCCAGGTCTGACATTTTCTCTCGCCGCTCCCATGGCCCCAACTCGCTTTCGCTCACGCCACGCCCTTCCAATTTGACCAATGCCGAGATTTACTCGCTCCAGAGTTCCCGGAATCCCACGCCGCGAGGCTCCAGTTTTAACCACACCGATTTTTATTCCATGGTCAATGGAGGGAGGAATGTGAGCCCCAGGCAGAGTAATTATGGGTTTGATGAGGAGAGTGGAGGGAGGGGTAATGGCTACCCTGCTCCTGCCAATGCTGGGATCTTCTCTCCGGTGGCTAAGAAGAAGGGTGACCCTGCTGCTGCTGCTGCTGCTGCTGCTGCTGCTGCTGCTGGTGGTGGTGGTGGTGGTGGTGGTGGCAAGGATCTTCACATGTTTGTGTGGAGTTCAAGTGCTTCTCCGGTGTCCGAAGGTGGAATCCATGTATTCAGAGGTGGGGATTTTGGGAATGACCAGCTTCCTGCTACTGGTGTCCCTCACCACAAAGGTTTGCTTGCTTTTTCACCCCTTTTTGACCTTTTGACCATTCACAACTTGTTTCTATTTTTTGGTTTGTGGACTTGTTGATGTGTTAGGTTAAAAAAAAGGAGAAGAAAATTTAATTTTTTTTTTGTTTTCTACTGAAAGATCTAGCTTTTTGTTTTTTGGTGGGGCTTGATGGTTTTTGGAAACCTATTGGTGAAAAACAAGGAATTATTTATCTGGACCGTGGAAGATATAGTTACTATTAGGTTATGTGGAAATTGTAATTTTTTGTTGGTAGAAAATATATGAATAAAGTCACGTTTGTGATGTGGAATTAAGCATGTTATTTGTTTTCTTTTGACTGTACTGAACAGACCCGTAATCTTGTTCAAATGTGACTTTCCTAGTTTTGTTGCGAGTGTGTTTTTGTCTCTTTTAGGTTGTTGTTGGTGTTAAAGTTGGAGTGGGGTTTGTTGGACTGACTTGGACTTGCTTGTCTTGTCTTTTCTCGATTGCAATAGTTTTGGTTTGTTAATCCTGATGTATCTGATATTTGGTTTTTTCCTGGTCCAATAATAGTGATTGTTTGTTTGGGCGTGTCATTTTCTCGTGTTCTGATTGGGTGCGTGTTATTTTCGACGTTACTGGTCAGATTATGATGAATTTGGTCACGACGAGTTTAGCTTCGGGAACAGAACCGTGGCTAATGGTGTGGACAAGGAAGGGCCAGTACTTTCGAAGATTGGTTCAAGTTCCACGGCTGAGCTTCACCCCAAAGCTCAAGGTGAATCCAAACCCACGTCCATGCCACCCACAAGTGTTATGACAAGACTCATTTTGATCATGGTTTGGCGGAAGCTGATTAGGAACCCTAACACATATTCCAGCCTCTTTGGTCTTGCTTGGTCTTTGATCTCGTTCAAGTATGTAATCATACAATGTTTTCTTATTTAGTTATTAGTTCAAATGGTTTTAGTTATACAACAAGGTGTTAATGTTTTATGGTATGTTGCAGGTGGAATGTTGCTATGCCCGCGATTGTTGCTCAATCAATAGCAATTTTATCTAATGCTGGCCTTGGGATGGCCATGTTTAGCTTGGGTATATTTTTTAATTTGGGTTTGTTGACATGTTTGGGGTTTGGTGTTCATGTATTGAGATTTTGAATTTCTTGGTGGTTGCAGGGTTATTCATGGCATTGCAGCCAAAGATTATTGCATGTGGAAACTCGGTTGCTTCCTTTGCTATGGCAGTTCGTTTCCTTACTGGACCTGCAGTCATGGCTGTTGCTTCAATCGTTGTAGGGCTCAGGGGAGTTCTGTTGCACATTGCTATTGTACAGGTAAAAGGGTTGTCTCAAGCATTTTTTCCTTTAATGTAAATTATTTGCTCTTTAATATTTTATTTTTGTGATTTTATCACATGATAGTTCTTTAATGCATGTGTTGTGTGTTTTTTCAGGCTGCTCTGCCTCAAGGGATTGTCCCTTTTGTGTTTGCTAAGGAATATAATGTTCATCCGGACATACTCAGCACTGGGTTTGAACTCTTGTTCCTCTATTCTTAATTATATGTCATCAACATGAAATGGTTATGTAACGAATGATCATAATGACTTTTGGTTGTTTATTGTGTTGCAGGGTTATATTTGGGATGCTAATCGCTCTTCCAATTACGCTAGTTTACTACATTTTGCTTGGGCTTTGAAGGAATGATGAGGACGTGAAGGGAAAAGAAAAAGAAGGCTAATTGCAGTGGATTACACTAGTCTTTTGTTATATTATAGGTTAATTTTTTTGCTATCCTCTAACAATGTAGAATTTGGGAAGTTAGCGAGAGGGGGGGAGTGACATTGTAATATCTAAATTCTAAACACAATGGTGAGAGCTGGAAGAGAAAGATGAAATATTTTAGGGCTATAGCTACTAGGAAACTTTTGTTTTAGCCTTTTTACTGTGAACCCCACTCTTTTATATTTTGCTTCGTTAAATGAAAAAAGAGAAAGTGAAGCTTGTTTGTAGTTGTGGGCACCTTTCTTTTCACAAGTACTACTACTACTACTTTTCTAGGCCAAAAGGAGATCGAGAATCTCAATCTCTATCCTATGCAAGTATAAGAATAAGAATATATGAAGCAACCAGTGGTTTTTGTAGGGCAAAAAAAGTAGGAAACCAAACAGGAGCTTTTGCTGGCTTGTCTCTTTGGTGCTGTTTTTTTAGCATTTACTACATCTTTTGATTTTGAATGCCACAAGTTGTCTTGCACATGATTTATGGAGTATCGTTGGAAATTGAAGCTAGGTCTTAGGTGTATGGCTAAGGTTGCTACTAGTGGTCCTGCTGTTGGCAACAACTACTGAGGCTAGCTTGAGTGCTACTGCTACGGCTAAAGTTTGGTTCGCACTTTGCATAGCACATCACATGTTCCTGCACCCTCATTGGGTCTTCTTTACTTGGAAAAATGGATGCCTTAAATCAATTGTTGGACTGCTGCATGTAGCGGGAACACTTATTGCACTCTGCTTTAGTGATCCTTCATAAATACCCTTCATTGCTCCTCTAGTTCAATCATACCTGATGCATTTTGGTTTTCAAAGACTTGTTACATTTCATGTTACCTCTTTCTAAAGTTCAAATCTAGAAATCAATTATTACGGTGGATGATATGAAAAAAAATGATAAATGTTACTTAAATTTTAGAAAGGACATTACTATAATAAAACCGGAGGGAATACAAAAAGATGGGTTGTTTTTTTTCCTTTTTGGAGACGCTATGGAATTATTTCGAGGTTAAAGCTGTATCCAATGATTAATGTGATACAGGCATTTCCTCTCTTTACGGCTTTTACTGTTTTTAGTGCCTTTTTAAGTTTTTTTTACTACAAATAGATAAATCACGGTACAAAAATATTAAGAGCTACATTAAATTGTACATTATTTGCAACGGTTGATTTAATGTTTATTAATAATGTTTTTTTTTTACTTTTTTTTTATTGTTTAGATAAGAATACTAATACACATTTGTTAGTAACCATAATTTTAACTTTCGTGTTGTAATTTTTTATACAATTAAAATTTATAATAAATGAATCATTTAGATTTACATTAAATGATTTAATATATAACTTTTTGAACAGTTAACAATAACCTATAAAAGTTATTGAAATTTATTTCAGAAATAGAAATAAAAGAGAGTTGGTTAAAATTGATAGGCAATTAAGAAAGTTAAATATGCATATAAAGATAAAATAATGATAGTTTAAATTGATTGAGAAGTTTTTTTTAATTGCTTGCAAGGATACGTCATGAAAAGACAGTTTAAATAAGAGAGGATAAAAAAACTAACTAATTTATGAGGAGTAGTGGAAGATTGAAGTAGAATCCACAAGGTTTTAGACACTTAGTATTGTTATCTAAATTTTTATGGATAAAAAATAATAAGAAAAGATAAAAAAATATTGAGAATGTGTGAAAGGGAAAAAAATTGACATTTTAATTTATAATATAAAAATAAAAATTTATGATTTTAAATTTTATAAAGTCTACTACTAGTAATAATAATAATAATACTTATTATTATTATTATTATTATTTACCGGTTGATTTTGTATTTTTATTTGAGAATAATTGTTGTATTCGTTAGATTTATAGTTTGTGATGTCTTTCTTTTTTATTCTTTATTTTTCAATCTAAGTCACAATTATCTTCCATAGAATTAAAAATTTATATAATATTTAAATTTGAAATCTCATAGTTATGTTGCTTAAATTAACTAGTCAAAAGTATTGAAACGACTAGTGTTTGATAAGTCACTTTAGTAGCTTATTAACTAGAAATTAATTAAGTATGGATGAACATAAGCTAGAGTTTGGGTATTGAGAATCCTAATTCTAATTCCAAATACTAAAATTATTCTTTTTCACAAGTATGATTTTACATATTTAATGAATACTTAGATTAAATTATTTTCATTAATGCATAACTTTTAAGTACAAACAAAACCCTTGATTTTATGATGTAAACATCGGGATATATTAAATATTTCACATTACAACACTTTTATAATCATTTATCCTTATCCCTTAAATTATTATCAGCTTAAATTTGTTTAGGGCTTAGATATAGGTCGTGTGCCCTTGAACCATATACTAACCACAAAATCAAGTTTCAAGGGAACCAGTTTCTTGCTTAATGTTTGAAGAGAAGGTATAATATAACATTGTTCTCGGTTCATGAACATAGAATTAAGGGTCTCTGAACTCCATTTTTCATTACTCGTATAAAGCCCCAATGGTGAATTGGTGATCCACCAAGTGAGGAGCCCGTTGTTTAAAAAATTGATCTTCAACATTTTTTAAAATAATTGTTAATAGTTAAAAATATAATTTATAGATTAAAACACATTCAAAGTCCAATTTAAAAACTAAAATACTATTTTTTTTTTTACAAAAAAAAAGATCAGTATCTTATTTATGTATACGAACATTTATAATTGAATTAATATAATTTAAGATAAATAACTATTTTCACTCAGTTTTTATATAATTATTCAATTTAGTCCTTTATTATAAAAGTGTTTAATTTGGTCTTATTGTATATGTGAATAAACATATAAAATAATCAACGTGTTTCTCTCCATTAGACAAAAGAATAACAGTATGTTGTTTTTCAAAATTAAGGGATGAAGTTGAATATTTTGATAATAAAGGAATCAAATTGAATCAATTAAATAAAAAAGGAACTCAAGACTAATTTAATTTAAACTATATTGTTTCGGTTATAGATGTATTATAGATGTTTAAGATAAGATACTTTATTTTTTTTAAAAAAATAGTATTTTAGTTTGTAATTTCTGAGTGCCAAGTATTCCTTACATTTAGTTTAATCTTATTTTTCGCAGTAGCTATTTTTAATCTTTTTGTAGGCTTCTGTTCGTGCATTTCTTGCCTAGAAAAATAAATATTTCATTTATCACTTCTACTCTTCAAAAAATATTTTGTTTGGCTTGGCAGCCTTAGTTTAATGGTGATGACAGTTCAAATTCTTATTCCACCGACTTGAGACTTTCTTCCTTATATTTTTTATCCATGCACATCCACACTTTCAAATTTGAATAGTCACTTGCACATAATTATTATTCCATGATGTTGTTGTCCATAAACATAACCCCATTAAAGTGATGAGAGGTAAAATATCGATACCACATCGTGATAGAAAAAGTAAGATTAAAATATCAAGAAAATAGTTGTATTTGATAGATGTCTTAAATATATTAGATCAAAAGATTAAATTAATTAGTTGAATCGTAACTTTTTTATTTCACTTATCCCATTCAAACTTGTTTTATTTTGAATTATTAAGAACCATAAAATTGTCTTATGTTATGTTTTGTATCACTTGCGTTAAGATTTCTAGTTAAAATAGTTTATTAATATTTTTCAAAATTTCAAAATTCTATGTTATAAGTGAAAAACATATATCAATTTTTTGATTATTAATCTCAATCTGAAAATTAGATTAATAGTATTTAATAAAAATACCATTTTAATCACATTTTTTCATTTATAAAATTTAAATGAATATAAGATTTTTATTAAGAAACAACTTTACTATCTAATTTATATATAGAGTGCAAATTGAATTGCAATTTGATTTTCCTATTTTTTTTTAACAACATATAGTTTGACTAAGGTTTAATGATTGTTAAATTATAATTGAATATGTTAAATTAATTATAATATATATTAAAAATCTTATAGTGTGTTTGAATGAAAAAAAAATCATATCAAAGTGGTTCATAATTTGTAAGTTATGATGTACAATTTTTTAAAATACCTAATTAAGCACATGCAGTGTTTTTCTCTTATCACAATTATCAGTTCAACTTATTAGATCAAAAATTAATCTTGCTAACAGATTTTTCACTAAATAGATGATCTCTATACTTGTAAATACACGTTGTCTAATCACTATGGTTCATTGACATGCAATTATCTATTTATATTCCATTTAATTAAAAAAAACATGTTAAAAAGTCTTTAAATTTGTGATCAACTTGGTTCTGCATAATATCAGTGGCTTTTAATATTGATTTCATGAAACTAGATGAAAAAAATTATTTATGGTTTTGTGGTACTGTCTCATCTTTGTTCTTGAGTAATAATAATACCTACATCTCACGAAAGGCACTTTCATGATGTAGAATCATTTCAGTCATTCTGAAAGGCCGCATTTTCTGTTAAAGCAAAGCTGAATTCAGGAAACAAGAAGGACGATAACACCTAAATGTGAATGAGAAACAGCAAACAGCAATATTCAATTGAGCAATTCGACTCCACGCCCGCAAATTTAGTCAATGATAGCTGAAAGTGATTTAAACTAAAAAGTGCTTTTATGTGTGTATGACACCAATCTCAATCAAAGCAGGTATTGTCTGTCGTGCAGGTATATAAAAAGGACCATAAACTTTTTTGCCCTCTCTTTTGATTAGCTCAAGTGAGAAAAGCTCAATAAACTATTATAAGATGGTGAATATAATGATGAAACCAGTTTCATTTCCCACATATTTTAGTCATGTTTCAAAGAATGTGCAGCACATGCGTGTGCCACTTAAATCAGTACTCTCTGCCTAGGCACTGCTACTTTATTTGCCTTTCTTCTGTTCATAATGTTTTGTTTGTAATGAAATTACTTTGTTGAATAATAGGTGGAACTCATTGATTGGCATGGTTGGATGAAGCACAACCAGCCAATGCTCTTCTAGTGGTTAGAAAATGTTTAGATGGAGCTGTAAAGTCAAAGGAAAAACTTTAGTATAATGTAAAGACCATGAAGAAACAGATAAGGAAAAAGGTACCCAAGAGAAACCTTCATCATATATGTAAACCTTCTTAATTCATAATTTTGTTATTTTCTTATCTTTTTATTCATTTATAATTTTTTTTATATAACTCATGATGTAGAAACAATCTATTAATTATCGAGAAATTTTGTGTTAGATCTCTACTGTGTATAAAAATTCTTAAAATTAACAACCTTTATATTATTATGTGTGAAATTAGTTTCTATTATAAAAAATTAAAAATATCATACACAATTTATATGCAGGTACAATTTTCAAGGAAGAAAAGAAGGGAAAATATAAAATAAATGATGTATTGAGAGAAGTATAAAAAGATGAGTTAGAAAGACAATATA